CAAAATACATGATTATCCTATTTATATAAAAAAAAATAAAAAATATAATTGGTGTGCTAAATTATTAAGGGTAACAAGTAATACAAATATAAAAATAGTTAATGAAAGATTAATTTGTAACATGTTTCTCAATCTTTCATATTCATAACTTAGGAGATTATCACTTGATCATGTGATATAACAATATATTTTAATTGAATACTATAAACATTTGATCAAAATCCTTGTTTATTGCAAAAGTGATAACCGAACTCTTTTTCTGAGTTCTAAGTAAAGTTATTCAGTGGATAAAAATACTATAGGTTTATTATTAGTAAATTAATATATTAGATCAATGTTTGGTATGAAATTTCCTATTTCAGAAAAATTAAACTTTTAGATTTAACAATACAAATTTAATTGAAAAATATTAATTAATTAATATTAATTTTAATAATTATGTATCAATTTTTTATAAAGCATATAATTTAACTTTAATTAAGTTTAAAAAGCATATTGACAATTATAATATGCTTTTTTTTTTTAAAACAATTAAATGTTTTGATTCAAAATTTATATAAGCTCAAAATAATAAACAACTTAAATAGTTATAAAGAAATTAATAAATTTGTATTATCAAATAATAATCTAATTAATAAGTAAGAAATATATTATGTATAATTTATAAGAAATTTTTAATAAGAATTTTGATTTAAATAATTATTAGTTAGAAAAAAAATATGGTATTTACTTTAACTAAAATAGTATTATTATATATTTTATTACCTGTTTTAAGTTGGTATTACAAATAATTGGTTGAAAAGTTCAAAATTAATCAATCAAAATTCAGGATTTTTAGTTGCAACTAGTTGATTATATTGAAAATAACTAATTGATTAAAAAAAGTTTTGCCAATTAAAATTACTATTTTGGATATTAATATTAAACATAGTTTTTCAACTTACAAAAGTATTCTTAATAATCATAGAAAATATCTTTAAGAAAACTCTATTATAATATTAAATTACTTATATTATAATGTTATTAAACAATAACTGTAATTTTATTAATAAATATATACTAGCATTAGTATTTGCAGATAGTTTATTGTTAACAAAAAATATATTCTTATATAAAGTCTTATTAATTAAAAATATTAAAAAATTAAAAAAAGCAAAAGACTAATCTAATTTAAATTTTGTTATAATATACTTTTTACAGTATATATATATTATTATAAAATTATATTTGTTAATAATTATTATAACAGAAATTTACTATTATTATAATAGTACTCTGGATATCCTATTATATATATACTTCTCCTTTATATTATTTATTTTCATTTTTTGATATAAGAACAAATAATAATTACATTTATAAAAATTAATTTTTTTGTAGATTTTTTTTTTAAAAAAAATATATGAAAATAAATTAACTATTAAAAAAAGAGATCAAATAATTAACACTTATCTTGTAAATTCAAATAGATTAAAAATAATAACTGTATTAAATATTTCTAATGTAATAATATATAATATTATAAACTGTTACAAAAAACTGATACTTCCTATTCAAAAAATAATTTAATTAGTCAAAAACTCTTTCAAATCATAAACAAGATTACTTGAAATATATTATTTAAAAAATCAATTTGTACTATTAAAAAAAATTACTAATAAATTAAATAAAAGTCTTAACACAACTTATAATTCTATAATCTTGATTTAAAAAGTTATACTATATATAAAAAACCTCTTTTAATCAAATAGTAACAAATTTTTCAATTAAAATAGTATCAAGCTAAATATAATTAAAATGAAAATGAAAACAAATTATGTGGTTATATAAATCTAAATTTACTTTATTTAAATTAAATACAATATATAAATAAAAATATAAAGAGAAATAGATAAAGCTTATAATAAAGATTGTATTAGGTCTACAGTTAAATTTGATAAACAATATGTTATGTTTTAAAGTTGTTTTAGCTAATATAAAATTGAAACATTAATAATTAAAAAAAACATAAATTCTGACATATATATCAACTTATTAAAAAAAATTATTTGATACTGTACCTTTGCAATAATCAAAATATAATGTTTCAACAAAATCTTATTCCATGTTATATATCATCTTATATAATCTGATAGATAGCAATATACAATGCATTAAAAAAAAAATTGGAATTATATTTATATCTATAATTTTATAAATAATAATTTAAATTAAATAAAATTTTAAAAATAATTTTTTCAAAATATAAGAAACAAGTTTACTTATAATTAAAAATAAGTTCTTAAATTAAAGGTGAGAATATAATTCAAATGTTTTGTACTATTAAAGTAGATTTTTTTTTTAAATATAAGATCAAAAAAAAACTACCTACAAAGGTTTTTTGCAATTTAGATTATTTGATCTAAGTGTTTTTTGAATTATGTTCTTATTAAAGTAATGAATAAATAATTATATTCTTTCAAAAAAAACATAATTGATTTGCAAAATTTTATATACTAAATAATTTAGGGATCATTCTTACTTATAATTATTTTTATTGATTTATTATCATTATTTGTTAAAATAAATATTTAAAGTAAAAAAAAAATTTTTTTAAAAAATTTTATAATTTATAAATATAAAAAATATACAGTATGATATAAAAAAAAATGTCAATTATATTTTTAATTATAACTTAATAAATAATTATTAAAAATTTATAAAAATTTATAAATATATAGTTAAATACTTTATACTTAATACTGTTTTAATCAATATATTAATATTTTTTAAATTTAATTTTTATTCTTTTTTATATATTTAAAAAGTGGTTGAAAATAGGTAAAAAAAAAATTGTTTTTAAAAATTTAATTTTTTAATACTAAATATTTTTAATATTTATATATATTATTTTTTTTAAATAAATTCATTAATTAAATTAAAAGTTATAATTTTTTTAAAAAAATTTTGTAATCTTATTTTTAAATCAATTTTTTTAATAATATCTTTAACTTTAAAATAAAATATATTAAAAATATATTATTATTATTTAAAATTATTTAATTGGTTTTTTTTTATTATATCTTCAAAATTAAATCAATAAAATATTAAATTATAAAAAAATTATTTATGGAATTATTAATTAAAATATAATTATAAAAAAATGGTCATTTTTTTTGTATCATACTGTATATATAATACAGTTGGAGAATAAGAATTTTAAATATCAATGAATTTTTATTTATTTGTTTTATTATAAAAAATATTATTTAAATTTTCAAAAAAATTTTTTTTTAATTTTTCAAAACCTAAAACATATTTATATTAAATTTTTTTTTTTTAAAATATTTAAATTAAAAATAAAAAATATTTTTATTGAAAAATTAATATACAATTTATTATTTTTTTTAAATATATATCTTAAAAATATAGTTTGTAATTATTTTGTTTTATATAAATTTTTATTTCTTAATTTAATATTAAATATTTGATATAAAAATTTTTCCGGTTTTTTTCTTAACATACTGTATATTTATTTAATTTTATTAATTATTTATTCAATTACAAATAAAAAATAAAAAATTTTGATACAGTACAAGTCAATATCATTTATTGAATAATAAATTTGTGATGTTAAGTTGTTAATAAATTCAAAAAAGCTTTCATAAGATAAGATGTTTATTTTAATACGGCATTTTGATTTTTTTTAAAAAAACCTTAAGACATGTGAACGAGATATTTTTTTTAATTACAAAGATTGTTTTTTTTTATTTTTAATATATTTTTGTATAACTTAATTTTATTTAAAAAAATACACTTTTTGTTTAGAGTCATTGTTTAATATAACGCGACTACTAACCGAAAAGCAAATCATTCGAATTTTAAATTACCAGTTTGCGCGCATGCATTTTTAATAAATTTTCATTACTTCGAGTCAACAATAGGTGCAAATCCAAAGAACGACTTGCAGTATCTGTATTCCAAAAATGTCAATTACTAATCATTGCCAATCGCCTTTGTGCATACAAACCAATGAGCGTTTATTGGTTCATAGACAGTTTCTTTCTCGACTTTAATGGAATCCATTTATCAAAAAACAAGGCGACAACTTTGATTCAACACTAAGTTTTAGTTAAATAATTTAATTTTTCTGCATTTCTGCAAGACTTTACAGCTTAATTTTTTGTTTTGTGACAAAGCAGTACTTTATCACTAAATCATACCTTACAGATATATGTATATTTTTTCATAATTTACGATTGATGCTTGTTAAAAAATTTGACAAGGAGATACAAAATTTAAAGGAATCTAATAATAAGAAACCAAATGCGAAAATGATTAATGGAAAATAGGAGTAATTTTTGGAAACTAAAATTAAAAATAAATAGGAATAAATTAAAAAATTAAATAAACGAGACTAATGCTATGAAGGTGAAATGGCAGAAGCCAAAGTATCTATGACGCTTGAGTCAAAGAATAAATGAAAAGATGAAGAAACGATTCGATTTTGCCAGAAAATACAAAGTCTCTTTCAGAGATGGTGTGTAATAAAAGTTTGCCAATTGTGTCGAAAAACGATTTCCGATTTTGCCAAGTCGGAAGATACGAAATTTATAGCAAAGGAATAAGAATAAATAAATAAATAAGTAATAAATAAAAAGTCTAAAAAAATTTATCCCAGGATAGATATAATATATGTGCAAAGGAAGTTATTGAAATGGTATGGTTGCGGCAATAGTTATTGAATCCATATCTCATGAGATCGGATTACTAGAATCACTACTGTACCAGAGAGAGTAGATAGTAGAATGCCAGCAAAATAGAACACACTACCAAGGACCTTAATTAACCGAAGAAAAAAAAATCACCCATGTTCCTCAATAAGGATATTCTATATCATTTGTTGTTATAAAGAAAACTTTTTTTAAATCACCAGAGTCTTCTCGGTGTGTTTAGTAGTAGTACATTATATAGTTGCTATTTACAATCGAAGATTACATTGTTCAGAGTTCGCGAAGAGTTTACATAAATATGATGTCATTTATGTCCAAGTCTCCTCTCTCCGCGACGATTCTTAAGCATTTTACAATTCCTTCGCCCAATCGATCTACCTTATCCTCTTCCACTGATCCCTCCTGGTAACTTAGTGTAAAGTTAAATTTATTCTCATAGGTCACCGAATTCAGGCAAATTGCCGGGCCGTCAGACCACACCGATTGTGAGAATATCATGTCCACCACCTCCCAATTACTCGTGCCATTGAAATCATCCCCATCACTACTGCAGTCGCTAAAAGAAGAGTCACTATTACAATTATTCTGATTGATACCAAATCCATAGTAATCATCTCGGATGACCGAGCTGAGTGGATAATAATGACTATGCGTGAGGTACTCGTCTTTGCCACTCATAATGCTATGACGCCTACTGCCACTCAAACTGGAAAATGCAGAGGTCCTATTGTCCTCCTCGATCATGTCCAACAAACTGCTCTGTCGTTCATTCTTTAGTGTCACAGACGACGCGATCTCAACCACGGGCTCTTCCAATGGCTCAAATTCCAAATCCGGAAACTTCCCTAGATTCGACGGCATTATCGAAAAGCCTCTGCCATTGGGATATGATTTTGATTTGTTCTGGAAGAAAGTTTCTAGATCTTTGTGTTCTTTGGGCAAGTAGCTCAACATGCCCACGTTTCCCATGACGTCCGGGATGGATTTTTCTAGCTGAAATTTATAAGTATGGCACAGTTCCCAGAAATTGATATTTTGGACTGTATTGTTCTTTTTGTATTTGGGCTTTCGTATTTTACGAGAAAAAGAACCTTTCGACGAAGTTGAGATGATCGAACGACGGGAGAAAGAGTAAATAGACTGGTTTGATTGGCGGGATGAAATTGAAAGTTTGGAATTGGTAGTGGATATGGAATTCCGTGATGATGTGGAGAAGCTTATGGTCGGGAATTCCGGTTTCGGGAAGGAATAGTTGAACACCGACTCGGCGGCGAAATTACCCATCGTAGACCACGGAATTTCGGGGGTGACATGCTTCCTCAAGGATATCGGGGTCATTATCTTTAAGGTATTGTTGGCAGTGGCGGCAACAGCACGTCGACGATTTTTGAACTTTTTACTCCTGATTTCACCGAAAGTTAACAGATGCTGATACCCTGAAAACAGCACAGCGGTGTTCAAAACTGATTGGAATGAGGAGTTATTGGAATCGATGACTGCCACCAACTTTTCGTAAGATCTTTGCGGTAACGAGAACATCTTGACCCTGTTCTGGTAATAAGGAGTATCGTTGAGATGCTTGTCACCTGCCCAGTATTGACCAGACAACTGTTTTTGCAGGAAAGACGGTAGCAAGAATTCGCTGCATCCTTCCTTGATGATAGTAAACAATGAAGGTTGAAGGTCGTGCAAATCTTCAATTGGGTCACACATTTTAGCGGCCATGTTTTTGGTGAGTACCTTTGAGGAGGGTAAGTAGGATTGGGTCGTCCGTTTCGGTGTCGCGTTGTACTCATGGAGTGCTTGCTTCAGGACTTTCAAAAAAGTTCCCTGAATAGCGAACGCGCTCATTTCGTCTCCAATTGCATGACACCAACAGAAGAAAATGCAAAAGTCATAGTCTGGCCTTCGAGCTTTCTCCGAAACATCCACACCGCTATCTTCACCGTTTCCAGAGGAACCACCAGAAATCTCATATTTGTTAATGGCCACCACAACCCTCCAGAGGGGTCTCGTCTCGTCCTCCAAATTGAACTTCAAGTCGTGCTCTTGCTCAAACAACTTCTCCAAATCATCTTTCGATGACACTGAAACGAATTTCACCAAGCTTGACAAGTCAACCTCATCTAGACCTATGAACAGTGGTCTGGAAGATTTAACATTACGGATGGCCACCGATAAGTTCGGAAGCTCTTGGAGGAGGTTGGTTAAGGCAGGATAGAGTACTTGTATAACAAGCTTCTTTGAGAGCTCGGTGTTTACAGAATTTGTGTTGGAGTTTAGAGAGTACAGTTCATCCCACTTATAACGGACTGTGAAGCCCAAATTTGAGAAGTTGCTTGCCGTCTGTAAGACGACTTTGGAACGTTCAAGGTTACTGACCGGACGAATCACTCGACTCATTTTTTGAGGTGAAAAAAAAAAAATATTTTTTTTTTTCAAATTCGTGGAGACAAATTCTTGAAAGAGGAAAGTCCGAGTCTTTTAAAGTTCAAGGGAATGTGAATTGGACGTATGATTTGGTGATGCAATATCTCCAAAAAAGAAAAAAACAAATCCTTAAATTTAGAACTTTATAGAAGCAATGAAGCAAAAATGGGAAATCTCTTTAGTAGAAAAACGATAACAAATGAGTAGTATAACTCAAATAAAAAAATGAAGTAGAGGTGTACTATAAAAAATTCAAATGAAAGATGTGAGGGTAGTAACTTAGTTAAAGGCAGTAAGTCATAAATAGAATAAGGAAGCTGGATGCCAAAAGGGTGCCAGATAAAACTGCTTGAGGTAAGTGAAAAGAGAAATTCAGTGACAACGGATTAAATTATTAGAATTTTTTTTTTATTATTTACACAAATATAAACGAATGGTGGAATAGTTGAATGTTTCCGTACCACCTCGACAGTCCATGTGCAAACCCGTACCGTATTAGTTCACGTATTTCACGTATTACTGTAAATAATCAAATTACTATAAAAATGAATTAATGGAGTATTATTAACTGTGCACCATGTCACTGCGACGAAGAACGTTACACACACCAGGACGCCTTTCTAATCGCTGTTTGTGCTCCGTTATTAATATAACGGATGACATTATTTGTTCCATTAGTCAACAATTAAGCATTGCTCGAGCTATCCCCTATTCTCGCAAGTGACTCCGTTATCCAGAACAAGGGAGCGAAGCTCCTCCTTATTCACCTATTATGAAAGGCTTATTCTTTACACGTCGCTTGGGCCCGCCACCAAATTCCAAAATTAGGAACGTGAAAAGGCCCAACCCGGCACGATCCGGTCTTAGGGCTTGATGAACTGGATCGGACAGTATTCTAAGTGAGTCCGAATTCAGATTCGCACAATTACACAAACTTTTGCGCCATCACCTGCACTTCACTGTATACACGTAACGTACTGTTCCTTCAATTCGCGAAGAAAGAAAGTTAAAATTAACTCTTATCATTAGTGTTTTTTTTTAAGCACGTCTTTATTTTTAGTTTTATATCACCGCCGTTAAACATCAGTTTACTTGATCATGAGATGATCATTAAAATGCAGTAGTTAAATTTTAAGATCACATATGATTGATTTTAGCTCACGTAAACACTAATGTCCTCGGGGTCGTAAATATTTAGGTAAATGTTCATTTATAGAAAGCACTTACTCAAGATTCTATCATTAAACTTGAAACTGCATTAAAAGGAGGAATATAGTGGTGATGCACATTTACCTAAGGGGGGTGGTCCTGTGTGTTGACTATTATTAGATTTATTAGATTATATTTTTAATAAGGTTTGTTTGTAACAATTTCTTTAAAAAGTTCACTATCCCAAAAGTTTATCAGGGGTGATAAATCACATGACCTAGTAGCCGAGGTTTTTTATTGTTGTAACCAAATTGATATTAATTCTACCCATATGTTATTCCTCGTCCGGAAGTCTATAATTATTGTGAAAAAAAAATAGGGACTTATCAATTACCGGTTGATGACATGTTTAACGTAAATAACCCCGCCTCTGTTTTTGATCAGATGTTTCACTCGAGCCAATACAGGGTCACACATACACCAATATGGTCGTGATAATTATTTACTTATGTACGATCATGCACTGCGTCTTCTGTTATTATTAAACGACACGATTTAATGCATCTAGTGTACCGTGAAACTTGTATCCTTCAATCAGATTGATTCGTGCGCACGCACACTGCTCGCATGTAATAATTCTGCGTGGCATCTTAAAGCTATCTATCGCAATCTGTAAATACTGGTGATTTAATCAAAGAGATTATTCTTTCATCTATCGGAGCATAAAATGCGCAGTGTACGCGGCTTGTTCATCTTTTTGAGGCTATCACTTGATTAACCAAATAAAACTTACTATATCGACATCAATGTGATGAACGCGTCCTGGATAACCTAAAAATAGTTTCGGAACAAAAACGTTGATCTATTTTTAGTTGACGAATCGTACTGATTTTACCTTATTTGTACATGATATAACAAATCGTGAAAATTTAATGCATATCAAGATGTTGATGAGCAAGGCGCATATAATGACATGTAGTTTATGGTGATTACAGTTAATATGAGGAAGTTAACACGAAAACAGTAAGACGAGAATTATCTTTAATCCGCACACAAAAAAAGAGCATTCGTATGTAAGGTTATTTTATTATTTATTTTTTTCGGGCACCGCGTATGGTCTCCTATTAAAAGTATCAGATTTTATTCTTAGAATAACGTTCAAAATCAATTTTCAATTTTAACTTATCTGGGGAATTGTTAGAACGATGAATACTCGTATACTTCTATTGTTAGATTGATATCTGAAATCGCAAGATTGTGATTGTTTTCTTTCGTTTTAAATAGTTTTTTTTAGTGACCACTCTCCCATAGACACCAAACTCGGTTAACATTGGCAAAAGGTTTATGCCTAATGCAGAAAATTCAAATTTATTATTCATTCATGGAGTATACTACCATTGACACCCTTCCGCCTCTTCTTATTTTGCGCGTGAATTACACCGTTATCGATGCGAAAAAAGAAGTACAAAAGACGTGTACGAAGGTGCAAATGTAGAATTTTCTGACAGAAGCAATTTAAATTTGTATGACAGAATATTATTCAGGATTTAAATTTTTCGTGAACTAATAATAAACGAAAGCATGCATCACATAGTTCTCTTGAAACTAACCATAAGGGTTTGTGACTATGGTTATTTTTTCTTGTGCGTTATTGACGCAACCGAGATTAGATTAATTATAACATGCGTACTATCTTCCAATCACTAAAACTGTTTAGACTTGGATTTTCATTGCGCATTCGAGTGAGAAGTTCTTATAGACCGTCGAAGCAAAAAATAGAAGTAGAAACACATAGTATGCGTTCGCTCATGTTTCATCATCCTTTGCCGAACAGAATGCCTCAATGAGGTTTATGTTGGAAGTTTTGTTAAACCGTTTTACTTTGAAATTTCCGATGTATCTTGCGAGCGCGGTTCACGAATTTTGTAATTTCATTCTTTCTAAAATCCATTGTCAATATTAACTACCTGTTTCCCATAAATTCTACAAAGACAACTAAGACAACAAATTTGAATCATGTGATCCTGGACATACGTCAATTTTATAATTTAAAACTGACAATTACAATCTTACTAATGTAGAATCATTTGAACCATTTTTAATGGTGGAATGAAATTGTACATGCCATCTGCCAATATCAGATGAAAATTTTTTAACAGATATATAAAAATTGGTAATCAAAGCCATTTGTCAGAACTAAAGAATATTTGTATTATATACATGTATATACGTACATGACATGATTTTAAATAAACAAATACATTAAAGGAATGCTCAATAGTAAGATACATGCAATGAAATAATCACAAACCATTTAAAATTTTATTGATTTGACGATATTTTTGCTTGTGATTATTATTTAATATCAGAATTCAAGATATTGCACAAATCATTTTATAGAATTCAATTATTTACAAAACAAATGTTTTAAATAGTTGAAAATAAACAAATAAGCAAGTAAATAAATAAAATTCATAATCACTTCAGATTTCCAATTAAAATCATAATCAAAATATTTAGTCAAATATCAAATAAAATTCATTATTATATTGAAAAAAATTTTTTAATATGAATTTTCTTTTTTTAGATATAAATATTTATTTGGAATTAAAATAACTTATAAAACTTGCTCAACTTCACTACAACAATAACAACAATTATTATTATTTAACAAATAATAATCGAAAAGATATAAATCTTGATGTTATATAAATTACATTATTAAATTTTTTTATCAAGTTTTTTTAAAATTTGTATTAAATTAAATTTAAAGTTATTGAATAAAATTATAATTATAAATAGTTTTAATTAAAACAATTATATTAAATAAAAAATTTTAAGTATTTAAAATTATAATTTAATTATAATATAAATCTTTTTATATTTATTATTTACTTTTTGATAAATATAAATTTTAAAAATATAAATATAATAAATAATTTTAAATTATAGATTTTTAATAATTTTAAATTATAGATTTTTATAATATAAATTATAATTTTTTACAAAAACTATATTATATTAAAATTATTAAGTAATATATAAAATTTCTAATAGTATTATTTTGATATTAAGTTACTATTGGATTTACTATAAGTTTAATATAATAAGTCTCAATTCATATATTAAATTTATTATAAGAGAATATCAAGTCAGTACTAATTTGATACTTGATTTGGAACTCTAATTCTAAAGTATTGCTATATATTTAATTATTTGAAAATATTTGAAAAGTTTAATAAGGAGTAAATTATAAAAAATAATTCAAGTAATTAAAGATAGGTTTTGTCTTATTTTATTTCATTATTAATTAAAAAAGATTCTGTTGAACTTGATAAAGTATTAATTGATATTTTTCTATTGGTAAATAGATTAGTAATAAGTTGTATTAACTTTTTTGAACAATTAATTTTTTGAAACAATTTTTATATTGCTGAAATTAAAATTAAGTTGAAGGCTTTAGCAATATTTAAAAAAGCAAATCAGAATTCTTTGTTATTAATATTTGTTACTTGAATTACTAAATTAATAACAATTAAAAGTTTTATAATACTTTGATTAAGGAGATTAACAAAGTTAAAGTGAATAGTATTTGATTATTTTTGAGAATTTTAATAAGTCTTTTATTAATTATATTAATAAAAAGTTTTTTTTATAGATTTTGTAAGAAATATAGATCTAATATTATTTATATTATGACTTTGGATTATTTTTTTAGAAATTTGTATAATAACAGTTTGTTTTTAAATATTAAAAATAAATATGGAATTGATAATAAAGTTAAAAATATTAAAAAATAGTTTATAAATACTTTTTTCCAGAAGTTTAATAACTTCATAACTAATTTCTGATTTTTTTGATGCCTTGTTTTTTGGAAAATATTTAATTAATAACCAATTTAAAAGTTGCTAGATTAATTATAAAAAGTATTTCTTTGTATAAGTTTTGATATATTAAAGGGAATTTTATATTTTTTATTAATTAAAAAATTCATGAAGATTAAATGATTACTGATATAAGATATTTTGAAAATAGTCATTAATAAAATCTTTTATGATATTAAAATTATTCTCAATTTGATTTTTACAATTATAAATTTAAATAAAATTAATTTTTATTTTAATTTTATTAAGAACTTTAATAATATAGTTTCTTGACTTGTTATAAAAATTTTCTATAATAGTTTTGAAGTTGTAATAATATTTTTCTAAAAGTTTTTAATAAGCTTGAACTAATTATTCTTTAATTGGTAACCTTTTAAGTTTTTTGAGATCTTTTGCTAATACAGTGTAATGCAAAAAATTTTGGAATTTTTTATTTATTTATTACTCAAAAACTATTGTATAGAAATTAATAAAAAACATATTAAAATAAAGCTAAAAATCTAGAGATTTTATTAATATATAATTAATAATTAATT